CCGCGGGCATCGGGTCCCCGCGGCGAGGGCCCGGGCAGCCGGGACGACCCGGGAGGCCGGAGCAGCCCCCGCAGCGGTCCCGGCGGGCGGCGGGCGGCGGGCGGCGGGCGGCGGGCGCGGGGCCGGGCGGGCGGGGAGCGGCGCGGGCCGAGCTGCAGCGAGCGAGTCGGCGAGCGGGCCGGGAGGAGGGAGGAAGCAGCGCGCGCGAGCGAGCGAGCGAGCGGGCGAGCGGAGGGAGAGTGAGGGACGGCATGCAGTGAGGTCATCCTTTGAATCTAATTGTCTGAGTCAGGAGGAGATGTGGCACTTGATGCTGGGGGAGGGGAGGGAGAAGGGCCCCTCCCGGCTCCGGGTCCGGGCCCCTCCTCACACCCAGGGGCGGCCGGGGCCTCCCTTCCCCCGTCCGAGGCGAAGTTGCCTCGGGCCAGTGCAGGCCACCGCCGTCTCCGGGCCGGCCTCCGCTGCCTGGGGGTGTCAGCCAGCGGTGAGACCCGGTCCCAGCTCTGGGCCACCTTCCGATTTTCTGAGGGTGATGCGGACCCACCCACCCAGGCCCAGCTCACCTTCTGGCAATTTTTTAGGGCATGGGAGGTCCTCAAGCCACCCCCAGGCCGTGTTCTAGATCCTGCTCCAGCCTCTGAGGATAACGGGGGGACTTCAGCCGGCCTTCCAAGTTACCTTTCCTGCACTTGAGGACCTGGGGCCCCCAACTTACTTCCTATGCTGGGAATTTGGGGGAATCTGGAAGTTGAACCCCAGGCTCACCATCCTGATGGTGCAAGGCCACCCAATCTTCCAGCAGCTTTCTACATTCGGGGCGGGATGAGGATCCTCAGATCTCTCTCTTCCGCAAGCTCAAGTACCCTTTCGGGAGGGGGGGCAGAAGCAGGGCCAGACTCCTAGGGTCTCCGGGCCTGCCCAAGGGAACAGCTGCCCAGATGGTGACGGCCTACTTGCCCGTCACCATCTGGGCAGCTGTTCCCTGGCTTGTCAGGTGTGCATAACCACGCATGTACACATGAGCACACGCACACATGTGCACAAGCTCACAGGGTGGGGGTCACCAGGCAGCTGGGGATGCTCACACCAAGGGCCACACACCCCTCCCTTTGCCCCCGTGGGGGAGGGGTGATAAATATTTAAGGGGCTTTTAGCTCAGAAGGGGCTGAAACGGGGGAGGGAGGGGGATCCACACTGCCTGATTAATGGGGTTACGGGCTTGGATCAATCCGTCCGCCCGCCGCTCCCTCCTTCCCCCTCCTCCCTCCCTCCGCCTAATGCGCTTTATCAGGAGACGCTTTTCTGACTTGGCAGCGTCGGGCGTTTTAAATAGACCCATTTAGAGCTGGGGTTGGGGGAGAAGGAGGGGGGTGGAGGGAGACTGAGATTGAGACAGGCTGGGAGACAGAGACAATCAGGAGAGAGAGATGGGCCGCAGCAGAGAGAGACTGGAAGAGGAGAGACAGAAGGAAACGCAGAGACACCGCTGAGATAAGAGACAGAGGGTGAGACTTCCATGGAGGCCAAGATGGAGAGAGAGAGGGGTGATGGGAGGCCAAAGGGAAGCTGGGGGCCCAGGAGCAGAAACAAACAAAAAGAGACAGAGAGGAAAGGAGCCACCGGCAGCCCAGAAAGAGGCTTTCTCTCTGCGAGGGCTGAGTGCAAGCCTAGGAGACAGCAGATAGCTTTTATTTCCAAAAACAGTTTTTCATCCACTTTGTTAAATTAAAAAGCTGTTTTTAAAGTGGTGCTGGAGGTGCTGCTGGGGGAGGGTGAACGGAACTGCCAAGTCCTCCCTCCCCGGCCTCCTCCTCGGCCCCCACAGAAGCAGCCTCAGCCTGAGCCCCTGGGGTGTTCTCCAGCTCCCCTGCTTTCTGTGATCCTCTGAGATCCCCAGGAACAGGGTCAGGGCATCTGAGCTACTGTGCACTGGCAGAAAGTCCTTCCTGCTGTCTGGCTTCAGTCCCTCCTGCTGCAGGGAGCCCATTCTTTCCCCTAACTGCTATCTCTTTCTTCTCCAGCTCCTGTCCTGGCTCCCTAAGGTGTTCCCAATGTGGGGGGAGGATTACATGACCTCACAGCTCAGTAGCCCACTTTCCAATAAGCCATCAGACTTCTCCCAGTGTGTACCCCATAAATATTATCTATTTTTCTGTAAATCCATTTCCCAGCCCCATCCTAGTCCGAGCTTCTGTCAGACACCCACCCTATGTCCTTGGGTCCTCTGGGAACAGTGAGGTGAAAAGCTTAGCTCTCTGCAGCCATCTTGGGCCTCCCTGCCTCCAGCTTCTCTTATGTGTCAGACTGGGGTACCCCACTCCACCCTTAACAACACCCCAGTCCCAGTTCTGGGGGTTTAGTCCCTCCCTTGGCAAGCCGGGAAAATGGCCAGTCTGTTTGGGAGCTGAGATGAAAAGCCCAGCCGGCCTTTGTGGGCCTCTGGCGGGCTTTGGACAATAGGCCCTTCCGTTCCGCTCCAGTGCCTCGATTCCTTGGATGCCCCCACCCCCGGCTGCCAATCTGGGGGACTTGCCTGGCCTGAATGAGAGGCAGGGAGAGTCAAGCTCAGCCCCGCAGCTAATCTCAGAAGATTCTGGACTTTCTGACCCCCTATCCCATCTCCTTTGAGCCCAGCTGCTCCCCCATTCAAGCCAGAGGGATGTTTTGGGAGCAGAGAGGAAAGCTGAGAACACTGAAATGGAAACATACTCCCATATCTGGGACTCAGCCCTCCGTGGTGTAGAATCCAGTTTTTCAAGCTGGTGTTGCCCTTGCCTGTGTGACTGCGGGTAAGTCTCTTTCCTTCTCTGGGCCTATAATGGGTACAAGGGGTATGTGAAAAGCCCCAGCCAAGCTGAGCCCCAAACCTCAGGAGGAACAACAGGGAACACGTGGACAAGACCTCAGGTCCTTCTTCACTCACGTCCCCCAGACCTACAGCCCCACTGCACCTGCTTGATGCCCTGAGACTGACCTGCCCTATCTGGACCCCCAGTACCTACCTCTTCACCACTGGCCACACACCAAGCACATCAATATCTTCCTCCTCCTCCAAACCAAACTCTTCCTGGGACTTCCAAAACCAAGGGGTGAGATGGGGCGACAAGGCTGGATTCTAGAAGGGCGAAGGGCACAAATCAGAGGTCACAGAGGAGCCACAGTCCTTAGTCCAACTCAGAGCTCGTTCCATACCCGCAAGCCCACTGTGAGATGGGGAGAACGAAGCGGGCAGCAAGCAGATAAACGTCTGGAAGGAGAGTTGGGAGTGGAACAAGCCTCCTTCCAGTGTCCCTTGCTGACTTCAGGTTCTGAACCAGAGGAACAAAGGGAGGCCAGGAAGCAGAAGCCCGATACCACACACAGATACGCACCACAGGCAATCCAAAATTCTTACACAACCCGCTTGAGGACACACAGCCACCTCCATATCGCACATCCTTACGTGCACACTCGGAGTCACAAGGGCACAGGCATGGCGTAAACATCCACCATCATAACATCCTCTTTCTTGTCACCACTATGATTTATTGAGCATGTGTTATATGCCAGGAACAGAGTTAGGCACTTTACACGCATTGTCTCATTTAATCCTCATGACTTCTCCATGAGGTAGGTTCTAGTGTTCTTTCCATTTGACAGATAAGGAAACGGAAATTTAAGGAGGTCTTGCCCATGACCACAGAGCTGGACGGTTCTAGAGCCTAGATTTGAGTCCATATCTAGCCCCAAAGACTTTCTGCTATACCGATGTGCCTCTGCAGATCTCTCACCCTCCTCCACAGTGCCTTTCTCAAAAATAGTATCAGCTAGCACTTGTTCAGGATCTTTGACTAGCTAGACATCATGATAAGTATTTAACTTACATTTTTGTGCTGAATCATCGACATAAGCTTCAGAGGTAAATCTTGTTTCCATTGTACAGATAAGGAAACTGAGGCTCAAGGAGCAAACGCAGCTTGCCCAAAGTCACACAACTGGTAGTTGGTAAGGGAGCTGGAATTAAGCTCAGTGGTATATTGAAAGCCACTGTTATTTCTATGGACTCCAGTTATTCAACAGAACCTCATCTTCTAGGGTCCAACTCTTCAGGGTCCAACTCTCCCTCTAAAAACAGGTCCCAGGCCAGGCTCGGTGGCTCAGCCTGTAATCCCAGCGCTTTGGGAGGCCGAGGTGAGTGGATTGCCTGAGCACAACTTGGTGAGACCTCGTCTCTACAATAAATCAAAAATTAGCCGGGCATGGTAGCACGTGCCTGTAGTTCCAGCTACTTGGAAGGCTGAGGTGGAAGGATCGCCGGAGCCCAGCAGGTTGAAGCTGGGGTGGCCAGGAGCATGCCACCGCACTCCAGTCTGGGCGACAGAGTGAGACTCCAACTCAAAAAAAAAAAACAGGTCCCAGATGTATCTGCCAAAGGTATGGTTAAGTGCCTAAACACACACCATGAGAAAGGGACTCCATGTCATCCAATCCTGCCCAGAGATGCAGAGACATCATCAACCAGGGAGAGACCGCCAGAAATTAAAACAAGGCATTAGAGACAGACTGATAGGCTGATGGTGACAGTTACAGACACACCAAGACACACCAGAGAGAGAGAAATAGAGGGGAAGACAGAGACAGAGAAACACACACCAGGCCAAAGAAGGACAGAGATAAGTTGGAAAAGGAGACAATGGGGTGGAGGAGGGCACGTGAAGAAACACAGATACACTCCACTACACACAGACGCAGAGACATATATAGACCCATCTGACCTTCACAAGAAACAAACTGTGAAAGTGAGCAAGGCTGTGCGTGGTGTGTGTAAGTGTGTGTGTATGTTGGGGGGGGCATGCAGAGCCTGTATCGCTACGCACATTACACCAGCTGCTTCCAGCAATTTCATCTGATTAATAATAAATGCCCTATAATTACAGCCGCTCCCCCTGCCCTTCTTCCTGTTTTTTCTCAGCTGCCGCCAGGCCAGCCCCCCATGGACCCCAAGGCCCCCTCCATCCTCACCTGCTGCCTTCTAGAAGGCTGAGAGAACGTGAGCTGATGGAGGAGGTCAGACCCCCAATCTGAGTGCGGGGGGTGACACCCATCTTTCTATCTTGGATTAATGCTCTTTGCCCCCAGTCAAAAGGTCATCTCACTTATATCTCGCTCAGACCTCTCACCCTACCTGGGTGTAACCCGTGTCCCCTAATGTGGCCTAGGGGCCCACATCTGGGATGCAGGGAGAGCCCACTCTTTATCACTCATTGGCTGAAAGAAGTCTCCATCCACAAACTTCACCTCGCCTCTGAAGCCAGTAGGCTCCAAGTTCCTCAAGGAAGGGACCAGGACAGGACACCCCACCCCATCATTCTAACCCCAGACAGCCTGAGGCTCTGCCCACTTGCGTACCCTCAAGCCCTGGGCACTCAGTGGCTCCACCTCCCCATTCCCAAGCACCACCCCTCAAGGTCCACCTCCTTCCAGGCCTCCCACCCGAGCTCTCCAAGGCAGCTCTATCAGAATCAGCTGCGGGTTTGTGCTGATCTGTTTCTAATCGCTGGGGCCTGGTTCACGCTTGCCCCCCCACCCCAATATTGATTCCATTATTTGGAGAGTCATTGACGTCAGGGGCCTGGATGGGTGCCAAAACCGCCTTCTCTCCCAGCCTGGGCCAGGGCCCAGCCCCCCCATCCCACGATTTCATGGAGGGGCCCAGAAAGGTCAGCTCACGGGCCAAGGTCACACAGCATCTACCTTCTGACTCTGAGCTCCTCTTGCCTTTTGGAGACCACTGTGTGGCTTTCTTCTGGGGAGAGGGGCCACACAAAAGTCTGGGAGTCAGAAGTGACTATAAAAGGGAATCTGAAGACCCACGTTGGGACTCTGGCAGCAAGGAAGGGCTCTAAGGAGATAGGGATGGGGGCAGTGGCTCAGAAAAGGGTACTTGGGAAAATACTTTGTTTTCTTTGCCACAGTCTTATTTTGGAACATCCTGAAGCTGGACTTGAAATGGTTCCTACTGACTACTTGATTTTTATGTCTGATATCAGATGTATCTCCAGACTCTCTAAGAAGGAAATTCTCTGCAGTGCAGGATAACAGATTAGCTTTAATGTTGCCATAATTTGACTAACCGGCACCAGTAATTTTATAAACCTTTGTTCCATATAAAATAAAGGCTCTGTGTCTTGTGCATCTCCCGTTCATGCTGCCTCAGTTTCCTCATGCTCACACACTCTCCCAGTCTTTCCTGGGTATGGATGGGTGTGTGCCTCTCCCTCTCTGTCTCTATCTGACCAAGATGCAGCCACTGCTACACTGGCTCCCACCAGCAACTGCTGGGCTCTGGCTGGACAAAGTATTTTTAGGATCCGAACCCCATGTTCTCAGACAGACATTAATAACCAATACAGATAGTCCTTGGTGCCTGCAGCCTCAGAGCTCAGCCATAGAAGCTCAGAGATGGGGTCCATTTCCTCAGTGAGAAACCCAGACCTAGAGAGAGTAAGGAACATGCTCACAACCACATGGGGGAAAAAGGGTCTTCCCTACCTTCTGAAAAATCCTAAAGCTGGGGAGAGGGCAGAGTGATCTCTGACCCCTACCATAGAATTAGGGTATTGCCCTGCCCCAATCTCCCCTCATCCAGACCTTTCCAAGAAAGAAGGCACCTATCCTCTGTACTCCTTCCCTGAGTGAAGTCTAGCCCCTCCTGGAGTCTAGCCTGCAAACCATTCAGGGCTTCTTTGACCCAAATGGGGTGTACGACAGGGGCTGTTGGGTCTTGAGCCACAAACCCCAGAGAGTCCCCTCTGCCTGTGGTCTGCCACTCAGCCACTCATTTCTCAACTTTTATTGAGCACCTACTCCCTGCTAGGCACTGTGCAGGGAGCCAGGGATTCCTGCCCACAAGGGGCACTCAGTTTGATGAGAGAGAAAAAGATAAATCGTTTACTCAGTACTGCCTTCCTACTGTGTACCAGGTCTGTGCCAGGGTAGAGGGAACAGTGGCAAGCAAGGTAGACCCAGCCCCTGGGTCCCACAGAGCTCACAGGCAACTACTGTGCATCCTTGCTGAGTATCGTGTGAGAGAGTATCGGTAGGTATGGTGAGGCACATTGACTGCACTGGGTCTGGAGAAAGCTGTCCTCCTGCAGCACTGAGGACTCTTCAGTCCATTCCTAAACCCCAGACGGACCCTGAACTGAGCACAAGTCACCACCATAGTCTAACCTCTGTTCCTTCTACTGTAACTCTAGCCCTAGCTTTCTGGGAGCTTGTGGTCCACAACAGCATGGTCTAACTCTTCCCCCACATCTGTTTGAACTCCTGGCTCTGGCGACCCCCAACCCAGCACAGCTCTGTGCTTTGCGGCTGTCTCTGTCCTCTGCAGAGGTAAAAGGGGCTGATGACCTCAGTGCTCTCCACCCCCAGGGACCACTTGCCTCCCCAGCCCCTCCCCACAGGAAGCTGGAGCCCCTGAGGGTGTGGTCACCCAGAGCCACAGGAGTTTACACAGCTGAAGTCTCCCCCACTACCCCCACCCCATGGTGGGTCTGGAGGAGGGGTCAGCTCACTCTTCTGTTTCCTTGCTCTCCGGGACCCCCCCAAACCAGGCACACATGGTCCCCCCCCAACCCATCTGCATTTCAAAGAAAATCCACTCCATATGTTTCCAATTCATTTACACTTCAACTCGCCATGGGGGGGCAGGGAGCAGGGCGTCTTGCCTCCAAGCCCCCCACCCCCATAGGGAGGCTGGAGAGCATGTGTCCCCTTTAGGGACAGAGAGCTGTTATAGCCCAGCCATCTCAGCCTGGGGTGGGGAGTTGCAGGACCATGTCCCTTTTGTGTGGTCTCCCATGGGGTGGGGGGGCCAGTGTACCTCAGGCAACCCCACCTAGAGGTCTACACAGCAGGAAGGCATATAAAGTGCAGAGCCATGTCTCCAGGGCAGGTGGAGTCCCAGGGCTGGCTGCAATCTAGGGCCCCTAGGACTGCTGCTCTTTTGGGGAGTGGAGGGAGAAATCTGGGCATACCCTGGACCCAGGATAAGAGCTCAGCGGGCATTCCTGGAGATACTGTGAGACATACATAACATGGCCCCTACCCACCTCGAGTCAGGGCAGGGGAGAAA